GGCGCGTCCCCCCCGCCGCACCAGACCTGCCCCAGTCCAGCAGATGCACCACCCCCCTGCGCCCACCAATCGCCAGCAGCCGGTTTCCCGCCTCGGCCGTATTCGGCTGGAACTTGGCGTCGGACAGGTTGAGCTCCGTCCCATCATCCTCGGCCGACGACTGACCGTGCATGGATCCAGCACCGCGCCATGGCACCGAGCGCACCACGCGTCCCGCCTGCAGGTCGTAGGCATACAGGAACGGCCTCGACCCTGCGATGAGCGCCGACTCGCCCGAGGGATGGAACGAGGCGTGCTGGATGGGCAGATCCGGCACGTGGATCGTCTGCACGAGCGCATTCGTCTTGCCGTCGATCTGGAAGAGGCGCACGCGTCGGTCCTTGGAGGCGGTCATGAGCACACTCGCGCGCGCGCTCGGATGGAAGCGCACCATCTCGATCGCCGGTAGCGACTCCTCGGCCACCACCGCATGCGCGCTCTGCGCATCGTTCGCATTGCGCAGCCGGTCCAGCTCGATCTCGCCCGCCTTCAACTTGCCGCGTGCCTTGACCGATTTTGCATCGGCGTAGCCCTCCACCAGACCCGTGTCGCTGCGCAGCAGGTCGTGGATGCCCCGCGTGGCGTCCTCGTTGATCACCACCGCGTCCGAGCCGTCGGCGGCGTCGTCGGGGTCCGTGTGCGTGCCGAGTCGGAACGATGCCCAGCCAGGCCGGGGGTGCAGCTTTTCGAATTGCGCGCGCAGACGCATCTCGTACTCGAGCCCGCTGATCTTGGACTCGCCCACCTCGTCGCGCAGACGGCGCAGACGCGCGTTGCCGACGCGCGAGCCGTTGACACCCATCGTGCCGCCGCGTGTAAGGTCAATGGTGAGGTGCGCATCGTCGGGGTCAGTCCACACACACCGCTTGGTGCGCTTGGGCTTCTTGACCGCTGCACTGCTCGAGCTAGGTCGGTCGATGAGGATCTCGTCGTCGTCGTCGTCGCTGTCGCGCTCGGAGCCAGACGCCTCGGCACGCGCGTCGAGCTGGCCGTCGTCGTCGTCATCGCCTCCAGCCGTGTCCACCATGAAGAGGTCGCCGTCGTCGAGCGCTTGGTCCTGCGAGCCTTGCGACGCAGCATCGTCATCTTGGTCGTCGTTCGGGATCGCATCTTCACCTGTGGGCCGCGATGCGACCGCAGGCGTGGAAAGCAGCGAGGAGGAGCCGCCAAAGATGAGCTTCTCCAGGTCCAGCTCGTTGTCCGCCGGCAGTGGTGGTGCGCGCTTCTTGCGGCTGCCGGGGAGCGTAGAGGAGCCCTCGCCGAGGATGGTCTGCTCCTGCTGTGGTTCCTCGTGGGTTGGCGCCGGCGCCGTCGAGTTTCGGGACCTCTTGCGGGCCATCGCGTCGCAGAGTCCGAGCTGGAATGAACTGTACTAGGCCTTACAGTCGCCAAGATGCAGAGATCCAATCTGAGGCAGTCTGAGTCGTTGGTTGTGTGTAGAAGGGGTCGGTGGTCGGATGTTAAACAGCCATGCAGAGAGACAAAGACCCAGCAAAAGAGAGGGAGAGTAGCGAACCGCTCCACTTTTTCGCCGCCAAAACTTTCGTCTGAGCTTGGCTTTCTTCCAGCTAACAGGGTGCAGCTCGCGAGAAAAAAATGCGCTTACTCGACGCTGACTAAAGCACTATTGCTCGAAATTTGGACGGCCCAGCTTGATTAGAAATCGGCGCGTCGAAGCACCAACCGGCGCTTTTCGGCTGCTGCCAGCTGCGGGACCAATTTTTTCCTCTCGACTGGGCCGTGGCAAATCAGCGCTCCGACCGCGGCTGTTGGCTGTTGGCTGAAAGAAAGAGTGGAGTGGCATCGGCACGAGACCCTGCGGATGTCGTCTCGTGAGCAGCCTCGCTCGCCATGCCGGCTAAGCGATCTTGCAAACAGCCGTCGTCGGTCGGACTTGGGACTTGCGACTTTGCACTTTCCCCACACTCGTTCGTATCTTTGCGCCACCAACTCTTCCAGCCTTGTTCAAAGCGAGCAGGCCAGCAAGCATCCCCGACCCGCGTTCATACAATGTCGCTCGCCCAGCAGCGCCCGGATCGCACCGAGGCGGACGGCACCGCTTCGAGTGTCGGCCCAAACACCTCGACCCACGCAACAGAGCAGCAGCCACAACAGCAGCAACAGCTGCAAGCACAGGCGCGGCAGCACCGGGCACCATCATGGAGCGACGGCTCCTCATGTCCTGTGCCTCACGCCAAGTCGCAGCCATTGCCCCCCGGACACCCTCCCGTCCCTGACGCTCCAGCGTCCACCTTATACCCACCCACCGACTCGCGCTGCATCTTCTACCGCTCTCCCGATGATCTCGCTCAGACACCGCCGCTCTCGCGCTCCGCATCGTCCTCCATGCTCTCGTCCACCACCACGCTGCCCTCGCTGCACGAGCTCGCCGTCACACACGGCGCCTCTGCCTACGAGTTCGACCGCGCACAGAAGCTCGACCAACAGCGCAAGGAGGCCAACATCAATCCGCTGCCGCTCGAAGGCCAGCTTGGTGTTGATCCCAGCTGCACCCTCGTCCTCGCCAGCCGCAACAGCCAGCTCGCCCTGGTTCAAAGCTCCCACGTCAGTGCCATGCTCGAAGCACGCTACGGCAAATCCTCACCCCTCTTCCGCACTCAGCTCGACCAGGCCGCCGCGGCGCTCTCGGTCGACTCGCCTGGTAGCAGTCCGGCAGAATCATCGTCGCCCTCCGCCACGCGCCTCCAAAAGGTCGACAGCGACCACGCCGACCACGACGTCGACTTTCTCCGCAACCTCCTCCACTCCTTCCAGCCCGCAGCCGACGCTCCATTGCGCCCACACGCCTTCCCCATCACCTCCATGTCGACCGCCGGCGACCAGAACCTGCGCTCGCCTTTGTATGTCATCGGCGGCGAAGGCAAGGCCATCTGGACCAAGGAGCTCGAGGTCGCTCTCGAGCAGGGCGCCGTCGACGCCATCGTACACTGCCTCAAGGACGTCCCCACCGCCCTGCCAAAGGGTCTTGAACTCGCCGCCGTGCTCGAGCGCGAGGACCCGCGCGACGCTCTCGTGGTCAAGGCCGGCCTTCCGTACAAGGTGCTCGACGAGCTGCCCGTCGGCTCGGTCATCGGCACCTCCTCCGTCCGCCGCGTAGCCCAGCTGCGAAGGAGATACCCGCACCTGGTCTTCAGCGACGTTCGCGGCAACATCAACACTCGCCTCGCCAAGCTTGACGCGCCCAACGGTCCCTACACCGCGCTCATCCTCGCTGCCGCCGGTCTGGTGCGCCTCAACATGCACTCGCGCGTCACCGCCTTCCTCAGCTCGCCCGTGCTGCTCCACTCGGTCGGTCAGGGCTCCTTGGCCATCGAGGTGCGCTCGCCGCCCGCGGGCGCCGATCCCACCACCAACCGCGACGCACGCATCCGCCAGCTCATCCACAGCATCGGCGACTGGCGCGCCACCTTCCGTGCCGAGGCGGAGCGCGCGCTGCTCAGGGAGCTCGAGGGCGGCTGCTCCATTCCCGTCGGTGTCGAGACGCGCTTCGACGATCACGACCACGTCGAGGGTCAGCGCAGCGAGGCGATCGCCTTGGTCGACGACTTTATCACCGCGGGAGACGCAGATGCCAAGGCGGAGCTGCCCAACGGTGGAGTGCCCCTTGTTCGCGATGGCCACACCATCCCCGCAAGCCAACTCGCCGATGCCAGCGCAGACAGCCGCATCCTCGCATCCTCGCCTCCCACGCGGCCCCCGCTCGAGTCGCTCGCTACGGGGATGGAGCAGATCCAAGCCGCCAAGACACAGTCCAAGACCGCAGACGCTTCGACCTCCGCCACGACGATCGCGGACAAGATCGTCTCGACGTCGTACAGTATCGTGGATCGATCCACGCCCGCTGCCGAAGGTCGCACGCTGCATCTGGATGCCATCGTAGTCTCGCTCGACGGCAGCCAAGAGTCGCGCTACTCGGCGTCCAAGCACTGCAAGACGCTCGAGGATGCTCGCGAGCTCGGTGTGCATGTTGCCACCGAGCTGGCGCACAAGCGCGGCGCAAGGGCGATCTTGGAGGAGGTCGAGAGACACCGCAAGATGGCCGAGCTCGCCGACAAGCGTCGACGCGAAGAGGCGCGCAAGCGCAAGGCGCTCGGCCTGTCCGGTGGCGAAACCAATGCGATCGCCGTCAGCAACGGCGTGGCCTCGGTGGCGGAACAGGGCGACTTGCAAGCACTCAAGAAGTCCAGGGACGGATGGATGCGCGGACAGGCAGAGATCAGTCTGTCTGCCGAGCTCGAAAAGTTCAGAAGCCAGCACAGCGGTAGCGACTTGCCCGACGCGCAGTGCGATCCACTCGAGGTAGATCGCCGATTCGTACCGCGCGACGACGGCCAGCCCAAGGCGTGGGAGGTATAAGTCTGTATGATTCCTGCCGCCTTGCATCAATACCACCATCACCATTCGAACTTTCTTCGGCCATGTGTATGTCTTGAACGAGTGAGGGATTGGAACGTCCAGTCGCTGCTGCCAATCATCAAACAAAGTTCAAATGTTAGAGTGTCACTAGTGGAGGGCACGTGATGGTTAAAAAAAAAAAGAAGAGCGGGGAGAAGAAAGAAATGCTGCTTGGGCCGGGTTGCGGGATTCATCCGTGCGGCGGCTGAAGGGTGCGAAAAATTCTCAAATTTTTTGGGTGCTCAGACGGCGCGGCGCAGCGCACTCGGCCGGTCACTTGTGTTCGTTCACGTCCCACCTCCTCCTCTACCTCAACCCTACCATCGATCGCACCAGTCTTCGCATCGCGACCTCAACAAGTCCGAAAGCGGAGTGGGCGTCCTATTCAACCATGTCGGAGTCCATGTCTTCGGCAAGCTCTTCGAGCTCGCGCTCGTCCTTCGACGGGCCCTCCACACCGCCCGACGCCGTGCGCTCGCTGCCCAACTCGATCAAGGCGGCACGACAGGAGGGCGGCATCGACGCCGAACTGCCGCTGTGGAAGAAGAGGCACACCTTCTTCCCGCTCGAGCGTCAAGAGCGCTACTCGGCTCCCACCGACAAGGGCTTTGTGGCGCCCGAGCTCACCGAGCTCATCGCACCCAACATCGAGTCGTTCAACGCGTTGTGGGCAGAGGACCCCTCGCTGGATCCGCCAGCGTCCGCCGTAGGTGGCTTCTACAACGAGGGCGTCGGCCTTCTCGAAAAGAGTTTGCGTCGTCTGGCGCCGCGCATTGTCTTCGACGGCCAGGGCGACGCCAATGGCGGCCTCGGCAACCGCATCACGTTGCGCATGGACAGCGTCAACCTGTCCAAGCCGCTCGTCAACGACCGCGCCAAGGGCGTGCGCGAGCGCAGGGTATTCCCCTCCGAGGCGCGCGAGCGTCTCTTCACCTACACGGGCAAGCTCACCGCGCGCCTCTGCTGGAGCGTCAACGGCGATCCGGAGCAGAGCGAGATCGTGGCGCTGGGCAACTGCCCCGTGCTGGTGCGCTCCAACCGCTGCAACCTGCGTGGCATGTCGTCGCGCGAACTCGTCGCCCACCACGAGGAGGCCAACGAGTTTGGCGGCTACTACCTCGTCAACGGAAACGAGCGTCTGATCCGCTACCTCATCGTCGCCAAGGCCAACAGCCCGCAGGCGATCGAGCGTCCGTCGTTTGAGAAGCGCGGTCCGAGCTACTCGAACAAGGCGATCGTCATCCGCTGCCTCCACCGCGACGACCTGATCAGCGTCACCAACGCCGTGCACTACCTGCACAACGGCGGCCTCACGCTGCGATTCAGCTGGCGCAAGCAAGAGTACATGGTGCCGGTGGTGATGGTGCTCAAGGCGCTCGTCGACGCCACGGACAAAGAGATCTTTGCGTCGATCGTCCAGGGCGACTTTGACAATACCTTCCTGACCGACCGCGTCGAGCTGCTGCTGCGCAACTTCAAGCAGTACACGCTGTGGTCGGGCCACCAGTGCCTCGAGTACCTCGGCTCCAAGTTCCGCGTGGTGCTTGGCTGCCCAGAGGACTGGACCGACGCCCAGGTGGGCTCGGAGCTCATCCACCGCATCTTCCTCGTGCACCTGGACAGTCCGCGCGAAAAGTACAAGATGCTCATCTTTATGATCCAGAAGCTCTACTCGCTCGTCGCCGGCGAGTCGTGCGCCGACAACGCCGACTCGCCGCAGCACCACGAGATCCTCATGCCCGGCTTCCTCGTGGGCCAGATCGTCAAGGAGCGCATCGACGAGGCTGTCGGCAACATCCGCGCCCAGATCGCGCGCGACGTGCGCATGAAGCTCAAGGGCGTCGACTTTTACGACGCGCGCTACATCAAGAAGAGCGTCGCCAAGGTCAACATCGACATTGGCGTCAAGATCGCCTCGTTCCTCGCCACCGGCAACCTGTCGTCGCCGTCAGGTCTCGACCTCCAGCAGACGTCCGGCTTCACCATCATGGCCGAGAAGCTCAACTTTGCGCGCTACCTCGCCCACTTCCGCTCGGTGCATCGCGGCGCCTTCTTCGCCGAGCTCAAGACCACCTCGGTGCGAAAGCTGCTGCCCGAGGCGTGGGGCTTCCTCTGCCCCGTCCACACGCCCGACGGCTCGCCGTGCGGCTTGCTCAACCACTTTTCCCACACCTGCCGCATGACCACCCGCCAGCCGGACGTCTCGCACCTCCATGCGCTCCTCACCAGCCTCGGCATGACCGAGGCCGCCTTCAGCGTCGGCGGCGGCAGCGCCCACGGCGCCAACAAGAACAACATCGTCGTCCAGCTCGACGGCGCCATCCTCGGATACACCACCCCGGCGCTCGCCAAGCACATCGCCACCGCACTCCGCATCTGGAAGACCGAGGGCCTCCACAACGTCCCGCTCGACCTCGAAATCGGATTCGTCCCCACCTCCAAGTCAGGACAGTATCCCGGCCTCTACCTCTTCTCCAACCGGTCACGCATGATCCGTCCCGTCCGCCTGCTCCACAACAACAAGATCGACCTCGTCGGCCCCTACGAACAGGTCTACCTCGACATCGCCTGCGACCCGTCGGAAATCATCCAGGGCGTCTCGTCGCACGTCGAGCTCGCCCCGACCTCGATCCTCTCGGTGCTCGCCAACCTGACGCCCTTCTCGGATTACAACCAGAGCCCGAGAAATGTGTACCAGACGCAGATGATGAAGCAGACGATGGGAACGGCGTCGACGGCGATTTCGCGGAGGACGGACAACAAGCTGTACCGGATCCAGAGCCCGCAGACGCCGGTGGTGCGACCGGAGCTGTACAACAAGTACGGATTCGACGACTATCCGAACGGGACGAATGCGATTGTGGCGGTGATTTCGTATACGGGCTACGACATGGAGGATGCCATGATCCTGAACAAGTCGGCGCACGAGCGCGGATTCGGGTATGGAACCGTGTACAAGAGCGAGACGGTGGATCTGCGGGATCTGCGGGGCAAGGCGGCGAGTGCGAGTGTGCCGACGCTGCACTTTGGATTCGCGCCAAACTACCGGGCGTCGGAGGCGCAGCGTGCCATTCTGGACCAGGACGGGCTACCGTACATCGGACAGAAGGTGATGGCGGGCGAGCCGATCTGCGCTTACTGGGACGAGGTGAGCGGCAAGACGTCGTTCAAAAAGTTCAAGGGCGACGAGTACGCGTACGTGGATACGGTGCGTCTGCTGGGCGCCGACGGCGGCTCCGGGGGTGGCGACAGCGAGTGCCAAAAGGTGCAGATCATGCTGCGCATCACGCGCTCGCCGGTGATCGGCGACAAGTTCTCCTCGCGCCACGGCCAGAAGGGTGTCTGCTCGCAAAAGTGGCCGGCGGTGGACATGCCGTTTAGCGAGAGCGGGATGCAGCCGGATGTGATCATCAATCCGCACGCGTTCCCGTCGCGCATGACGATCGGCATGCTGATCGAGAGCATCGCAGGCAAGGCCGGAGCGATGCACGGTCTGGCGCAGGACTCGACGCCCTTCACGTTCAGCGAGGACTTTACGCCGACGCATTTCTTTGGCGAGCAGCTCAAGGCGGCGGGGTACAACCACGTGGGCAACGAGCCGATGTACTCGGGCATCACGGGGCAGGAGTTGCGTGCGGACATCTACCTGGGCGTGGTGTACTACCAGCGTCTGAGGCACATGGTGAACGACAAGTTCCAGGTGCGCACCACGGGTCCGGTGCACGCGCTGACGCGACAGCCGATCAAGGGCCGAAAGCGCGCGGGCGGTATTCGATTCGGCGAGATGGAGCGCGATGCGCTGCTGGCGCACGGCACGTCGTACATGCTGCAGGACCGACTGATGAACTGTTCGGACTACTCGACCTCGTACGTCTGCCGCACGTGTGGTTCGCTGCTCTCGGTCGGCTTTGACCACTCGCACTCGGGTGCCGGCGGGGCCATGTCGACGATCGACGTGACTACGCAGGGCACCACGCCCGTGCTCGGTCCCAACGGCGAGTTCTGCCGCGTCTGCCGTGCGGAGGACGAGGTGCGTCGCCAGCAGGGTCTGGAACCGCTGCGTGGCAAGCGTCAGCCCATCGGTGGCGCCGAGGCCACCATCGGCATCCCCGCACACAACGTCATCAACAACGTTACCGGCGGCGACCTCGACGTGGTGGCGGTGCCGTACGTGCTCAAGTACCTTGTCGCCGAACTCGCCGCCATGGGCATCAAGATGAGCTTTGCCCTGTCGCCCTAGTTGGCAATCTCCTTTGTAGCAGTTCAGTAGTAATTCACAGTGACAGGCTTTCTTCGAGTCGAGGTCTGGGGTGCGTGCGTGTGAGGGAGGAGGATCCTAGGGATTTGTTGTGGCCGAATCATTGTGTTAGATTGCCGGTCAAAGTGGCAGCGTAGAGCGGGCTGCAGCAGCGAAAAAAATAAAGCTCACTCTTCATGCACGTCGATGCGCGCTGCAGCTGTCTCGATCGGCCGCCGCCATCGGTGCGGGCAGCCGGTGTTGGTGGTGTGGCGTGTGGGCCTTGCTCGCCCGAGGCGACCCAAGTTGGCGGTGCACCTCTGTCGTCTCTCTGCTTTGCTCAGTGTGGTCAGCTGGAACTTGATCCGACATGTCGTCGTACTCGCAACACTGCGTCGGATCTACGTCGCTTTGCACCCGCAGTAGGTCTTCCCCCCTTCCCTTGAAATCAAAAAAGCTCGTACGTTAGCCCGGCGATGGAGTGACTGTGCATCGACTGGGAAAAAAGAAGCAGTACCAGCGTTTTGAAGCCCAAGCGAAGCCGCCAAGCGAGGCTCGACAAGACTCTGGTGCGGCCGATTGGTGCAGGGCCAATAGGATTGCGGGAGGGGCCAAAAAGAGGGCATCGCATAGGCGTTGTGTAATGGGGTCGCAACGCCCGCGCCTCGCCTCGCCTCGCCTCGCCTCATCGAAATTAGAGCTGTGCTTGGATCCAGCAAAAAGCAAGATTCCGGCCGTCAAGACGGTGACCAAGCCCAATACGGCGCTGCAATGCCCCGTCATGCCCAGCTGCGCTCAACAGCACCCGCCCCGTGCGCACTCGCTTGCCAGCTCGTCGAATGGCTTGAGCCGTGTACCACAGAAACGACGCTTGGCGGCGACGATGCGCTACCGGAAGCTGCAATGCAGCCAAGCCGACCGACGGCTGCTTCCGCCCTTTCACAGCAATGACCCTCCAGCGAGCAGCAGCCCTGCATTGGTGTGGGCAGCGGACGGGCGCCGGCTGGGACCTCGAAAGAAATGATTTCTTTTTTCTTCTGTTTGCTCGGATTAAAATCGCAATTATTATTATACATGCTCGATCGACGCAGCTCAACTGCGCTGCTGCCCCTTCGAGCCGCGACCATCTCAGCTGAGAAAATCCAGCCCGAAAAAAAAGGAGAAGGCAGCACTGCAGCCGCTCCTGCTCACTCTGCTCACTCATGGCTGGGCGCGGCCCTGGCTTGGCTCTGCCTCGAGCAAAGCTCGCCGTTTCGGGCTCCGAGCATCCTATTGTGCCGCGTCTTCACCATCCAACTGCCGCCATCATCTCTCCCACCGCATTCATCCCCCTCCCCCCCTTCACACGCGGCACGCAGCCTTTTCTGCACTCTTCCGCAGGGCATTCTCTGCCACTTGCTTGTGGAAATGCACGCCCATTGCCATTCATCCACCCACCGCCCGCACTCGCATCCTGCCATTCGGCCGTCTCGCTCGATTCGACTGCCTTTGCACGCCCGGACATCCTCGCATCGCCACTTGAACGCTCCCTTGCACTCTTCACCACCACCTGCGCTCGTGCCTCCGTCTCGCACTCTAGCAATCCCAACAAAAAGGCTCAACTCACCATCAAAATAAACGGCTCCCAACTGCCTTGCCTCGTCTCGTCGCCATTGCTTGGATCCTCTTCATACCCATCGTTTGCATCCCTTGCGTCCTGCGTCGCTTCGCCTTGGATTCTGCTCCGCAATATCCGCTTCATCGGCTTCACAACCGCCGTCCCCTCGCATCTTCGCCACCTCTGATTCCGCCGCCGTCTCGCTCTGGCTTCTTGGCCACCGTCTGCCCTTCATGGAGGCTGCCGCCAGCTCCTCGTCGCACAGCGGCTCCCATCGCGGCACCGCCACCTCGCCCGGCTCCGACTCGGCCAAAAGCGTCCTCATCTGCCTCCTCCGCCTCGACCTCCGCATCAACGACAATCCCCTCTTCTACTATGCCCACCAGACCCCCAAACCCATCGTCTCCACCGCAGAAAAGACCGTAGACCTCAGCAAGCTCGAAGATGAGGCGCTTCTCGGCTCCACCGCAGACTACCTCCTCCCCGTCTTTGTCTTTGACGAGCGAGAGATGGAGCTCAGCGGTCTGCCCGGCTACAACCGCAAGGGTCCCGAGGCGCGTACAAAGGAGTACGGCTTCTGGAAGACCGGCGGCTTCCGCACCCGATTCATCTCCGAGTCCGTCTACGACGTCCGTTCTCGCCTCCGCGCCGCAGGCTCTGACCTCCTCATCCGCTTTGGCATCCCCGAGGACGTCGTCGCCAACCTCGTCAGCGCCTTCCAGGCCGACGGCACCCACGTAGAGGGAGTGTGGCTCCAGAAGGAGATGACCTACCCCGAGATCGACGTCGAAAACGCCATCGTAGAGAAGCTCCAGGGCACCGGCGTTCCCGTCCAGTTCGTCAACGGCAAGACCCTCATCCATCCGGCCGACCTTCCCTTCGAGAGCAGCGAGACCCCCGACGTCTTCACCCCTTTCCGCAAAAAGGTAGAGGCGCTCGGTCCCAACATGGTCCGCCCCGTCAAGCCGTCGCCAGCCAAGTTCAAGTCCTTCCCTCCTCGCGTGCCCCGCACCACCGACTATGCGCTCGACGTCTCGTACGAAGTCGACGTCGACGGCCTCGCCCCTCGCGCGCTCGAGCCCAAGGACAAGCAGGAAGGCCAGGTCTCCTTCCACGACATCCTCCGCTTCCTCCTCACCCCGCTCAACGACTCGCAGCTCCCGCCCACCCTCGAGGCGAGCGCATTGCTCCAACAACGCCACCCCGCCTCCGCCTTTCCTCTGCGTGGCGGCGAGTCGTCCGCGCTCGACCGCCTCGACTGGTACTTTGTCAGGGGCAAGTCGGCCGACTCGACGCGCTGGGGCAAGGCCGACCCTCCGCCCGTCGCCCGCTACAAGCAGACGCGCAACAACCTCATCGGCCACGCCTACAGCACCAAGATGTCGCCCTTCCTCGCCTACGGAAGCATCTCGCCGCGCCAGATCTGGGAGGCGCTCGACGACCACGAGAAGAAGTTTGGCGAGGACCAGAATACGTACTGGGTGCGCTTCGAGCTGCTCTGGCGCGACTACTTTTTCTTTGTGGCCGAAAAGTTTGGCGACCTTCTGTACGACCTCGGCGGCTTTGAGCGCGCCACCGATCCACGCCAGGCGGCCAAGAAGATGGAGGAGGGCTGGTGGAACAAGTGGGATCCGCTCAAGGACGGCGCCGAGCACCAGATGACGCGTCTGCTCGAGGGCCGCACCGGCATTCCCTTTATCGACGCCAACATCCTCGAGCTGCGCGAGTCGGGCTTCATGTCCAACCGCGGCCGTCAGAACGTCGCCAGCTTCCTCTCCAAGGATCTCGGCTACGACTGGCGCATCGGCGCCGAGTTCTTCCAGTCGCACCTCATCGACTACGACCCCACCTCCAACTACGGCAACTGGCAGTACGTCGCCGGCGTCGGCAACGACCCGCGCGCCTCGCGCCAGTTCAACACCATCAAGCAGGCCAAGGACTACGACTCGCACGGCGACTATGTCAAGATGTGGATCCCCGCGCTGCGCAATCTGCATGCCGACTACGTCCACACGCCCTGGCTGCTCACCTCCGAGGAGCGAAGGCGGTACGGCCTCAAGACGACCAAGATGGACGTCACCATCGACGGCTACCCCGCGCAGCCGCTGTTTGAGCACGAGGGCTGGCAGCGCCACTACGAGCGCAAGCAGGGCGTCGGGTCCAAGATGCACGGCAACCCGCAGGAGAAGGTCAAGGACGGCAAGGTGCCGCGTCGTCATCGGCCCAGCTATCGCGTACAGGCTGCGACTTATGGTGCGCTGTCGGATGGCGGGCAATTTGACCAGCTGTCGGCATCGGCAGGCACGCTGAGTGGGCACTTTGACGGCAGTGCGTCGCGCAATGTGATTCCACCCCTGCGCGGCGCTTCGGGCTCGATTGGTCCCTCGTACATCGCGCGCCAGAGCCAGGGTTTCCCCAACGTCGGGGCGCTTAGCATTGGCGCTGGATCCGAGCGCAGCGGGTCGCCGTTTGGCACCTCGCCCGCAACGCACACCGGCAGCATGGGCAAGTTCACGCGCGCCTCACCAGCTGCGTCGACCAACCTGCCCGCTCCGGTCGGCCGTGCACCCGGCACCGCGTTTGACTTTGGCCCGGGCAGGACGGGGAGTGCGGCGTCGGTGGAGAATCCGAACGGGCGTCTGCGCCGAGGTGGAAATGGCGGCAACGGCGAGCATGCGTTGAACGGATACGCGGATCCAACGTCCGGTAGCGGTGGCAATGGTGGGGCCGCGGGGGCGTATGGGAACGGGTCGGTCAACGGCGTGGGTGTCGGTGCGCCGACAGCGCCCAACGGCGTAGCTGGCACACAGCTCTCCAAGGCCGATTTGGAAACGAGCTGGCGACGCGGATCCAAGTAGTGTAGTGCACCGTTTAATGCCCAATAGGTCATGGATAAGATGTCCAGAGTGAGGTGTGGTGCAGCAAGGCTGGGGCACGGGCTTCAGTGAGGTGTCGTGCTGTGTGTGCATCGTTGACGGGCGCGGGTACGAGTTGGCACATGGATGTGCCGGATAGCTGGTTCAAGGCTGCCTCGGGATATCTCTACGCTTCTTCCCCATGGCTTGGGGGTGGCACAAAGGATTCAGGCCGGTATCATCGGCTTGACGCCGGCACGATGCAGTGCTCGGCGTCAACGCACGTCTAACTGAGCCTCCGACTCCTTCCCGCCTCTCCTGTCTTTACTGCTGCGTTGTGCGTCCCAACGCTGCTTGGTCAGCGCCGCACTGCGATTCGTCAGACGCCTCCAAGTTGCGCCCGCGAGGCCTGCGTGATGCGTCTCGGCCGCTTCCCCGCAGTCCCGCCCGAGGGTGATCGTGGGTGTGGCGGTGTCGACATAGCCATGCGTCGTTGCACTCGACCTTGTTGCTCGGTGTGAGGCCCTGCGTGCACAGCATCAACATCGTCGCTACGTTCACCTTCGTCCATGCAGGCATCAAGACTGTTCTTGATCAGCTGCTCAGCTCGCTATGACAAAGCCAGGACAAGGCCGTCTAGTTGGAATAGACAGCTTCTCTTTTGACGCGGCTGGGATTGCAATCGTAGTCAAGACGTCTCGCCTCATGCGCGAGTCGTCCACAGCCGTGTCGTGCGATGTGCAACAAGGCATAGTGAAAAGTAAGCGAGGCGGAGAATCGACGTCTTGACGTCTGGCGAAACGACGTACTTGATCGAGTGCATGCAGAGATGTTCTAGCGCAACGACGCACACGATGACATTTGCGTGCCGACCTGCACGTACTTTTGCAGATGAACGATCGACGCCCAAACAGGCCGCTCATTGTGCACGCGCAACGCACCATCCACGAGAACATGGTGGCTGCAGCCACAAAGTCGCCTCATATGAAGCAGTGACACTCGCGACCAAAAGACGCCGGCACCATGCGGCGTCTTGGATGCGCTTTCCGACGGCAGAACGAGCGACATGGTGTCGGTGGCGTACCGGCAGCGGCGATATCACGGCATGCTTGAGACGAGCTAGTGCAAGGACAGGGGTTCAAGCTGGGCATGGATGCGATATGAAGGCGCGGGTGGTGGGCGGGGCGCAGGCGTGCACGGCCGCGCAGACTGCGCGACGATCGATTGGCGAAGATGAACTTTTGCGCTTCCTCCCACCTCGTCCCGCCGCAAATCTGCTCACAGTCCCCTTATAAAGCCGTGCTCGCATCTTGACACTTCGTTCTGTCTCGAGGATCCCCAACCCCATCGAGTCAGTCTGGAACTCGCTCTTTTCTCCTGATCATGGTGGGTCCGCACTTGCTCGTGGTGCTGGCAGCGGTGCTACTGAGCGCGCAATGTGCAGCCAAGACGACGTCCTTCTGGCCACACATCCAAGCGATTGAGGCACGATCCGTCGCAACCACGGTGCGCGATCTCGAGCCGCGCAATCCGCCGCTGGCCAACGGCCATTCGTCGGTGAGATGTACGCATCCCATGCAGCGCGTCTCGTGGTACACGCTCACGGACGCCGAGCGTGCATCGTGGACCTCAAGCTTCAGACAGCTTAGCGAGCCGGGCAAGTCGATCTTTATCAAAGGCGGTAGCTTTATGGACGATCTCACGCTCGTGCACATTGGGTTGCAGGAGGAACTGCACTACAACTCGTGCTTCCTGCCGTGCCACTCTGCGTTCCTGCGCGCGTTTTACAGCCTCATGCGTGTGTCGGGCTACCAGGGCCGCGAGGCATACTGGGACATCGAACACGACTGGACGCACGGCATCCAGAACGCCGCGCTGTGGACATCCCTCGGCGGCGATGATGGTAAAGGCGGACCGATCCCCAGCGGTCCGTTTGTGGGATCGCATTGTGGCTTGTTGCCCAACACCAAGAAGCCGGGATACTCGGTGTACAAGCCCCATCCGGTCACGAGGCACTTTAACGGCGATTGGATAGCCAAACCGCTCACGCGGGGCGACATGTACACGGCCCACTTCAATCGAACCATCATCAACACCTTCCTCTCTGCGCCCGATTATGCCACCCTGCGTCGAAGTCTGGAGGACAACATCCATGCCTGGTTGCATCAAGCCATCGGAGGCGAAATGTGGCTGTTTAGCGCTACGTGCGAGCCGGCCTTCTGGCTGCTGCATATGGAGATCGACCGCATCTGGAGAAGTTGGCAACACCTCCATGGGACGTACTTCCAGTACGCGGGACATAGGCGCATCAGACACAAGGACGGATCCACCGAGATCAAGGTCGCAAGCTTGGATGATCCCATCGACTTTTACGGGCTCTTTGAAAAGGTGACTGTACGAGACGTCATGCATCCCAGACGCGGCATCATGTGCTTCCGCTACGAACACCTCTACAACAACCAGCTCGACACCGGTCGTTGAGTCCTCGCTCCTCAGTGCTCCCTTCTTTTCCTGCTCTGACCGATTGCACTTGTAGCTCCTCACCCCGCACTTTCTGCTCAGGTCCAGTAGTTGATCACAGTCGACAAGCTTGGCGGCGGTACAAATACACATTTCTTTCCATCCCTTTGCGCGCTACTTGGCCTGCTGCGCTGCACCATTCGCCGGTACTCCCGGTGCAGTGTTGGAAGCGGTGGCGGAGGCGATGAGCGCATTGTTGAGCGTCGTGATGCGATTCCGTGCGTCCTTGAGCGCCTTTTCTGCGCGAATCAGCTGCTCTCTCCCCGACTCGAGGTCGCGAATCGCCGCGACCCTTGCCATGTCCAAGCGATCGCCCTCGGCCTGCTGTGCCTCGAGCGAGAGCGCATCAAACAGATAACCTGTGGGCGTGTGCAGCGGATGCGGCGGGATCGGCGCCGGCCCGCTGCTCGCACCCTTGTCCGCCTCGCTCAGCGCATACTGGTACGAGCGGTAGGCGGCCGGGTCCACAAACGCCAGCGCCGAGGTCACCGCGAGCTGCGTGGGCGGATGCGTGGACAGAATGTCATAGAACGCCTCCATCGGCTCCGGGAACACGATCTCGTCGTACTGCCACGAATGCACCACGGGCGGAAGCGCCGGTTTGGGCACTGCAGGCGCCGTGATCGCAGTGCCAGATCCACCCGCCGCCTCGGACTGCATGCCCGTCTCGGTGCCGTTGGAACTGCTGACCGGATCCACATCCATCTCTGTCGTCTCGGGCTGCTCTTTGGTGGATTCTGCGGACGTCTCTGTGGTTACTGTCGGGGTCGCTTCCGCAGCGTCTGTGGCTGTGGTCGGTGCCGAGGTGTCTGCCGGCGGAAGCGGCGCAGGGATCGAAGGTGCTGGTGGCTGTTCGGACTGTACTGCTGCGACTGACGCCAGCCAGGGATGCAGCTTGAGATGGTGAAACAGCGTGATGGGCTTCTCGTTGGCTTCGGGCACAAAGAAGATCTTGATCTGGATCTCGAATTCGCCCCATCCCGTTTCGGTCACGGAGTACGGCGGCTTGTCGATGTTGCGCGTCGGCTGCGCATACGTGTCGTGGAGCTTGAACTGGACGCGCTTGATGAAGTGCGACAGATCGTCCTTGCCGCCGACCATCTTGTGGTAGTCGTGCTCCACATCGCGACCGCGCGTCGAGATGGTCGCAGACGCACCGGCTGCTGTCGAGGTCGAAGCAGCGGGTGCGGCGGTGCTGGGCGTACCGGCAGCAGCGTTGGCGGCGCTGGCAGCAGCGAGCTCGGAGCCCGGGTCGACGTTGGCATTGTTGGCGGCGAGACCCGAGATGGTCGAGAGCGAGGGCAGCGGGTGGGAGGCGGCGCTTCGAACGGCGACGGTCCACTTGTGGGTGTGGTCGGGCGGCGCGGCGAGCTTCTCTGCGGGTGTGAGAGGCGTCGAGGTGGAGCCGTACAGGATGGGGCGATGGATGGCGAGACCCCGGACGCGCTTGTTCGACATGGTGACGACTGCTCGGAAGATGAGAGTGGCGAGTCAAGATGCAGCGCTTCCAGCCCATGATGGTCTGGTCCGAGGCAGCCCACCAGGGTCTCTTTCGTCCACTTCCGACATCCGTATTCTGCATCTCTCTTTCTTTTTCGGACGAGAAATCCCACGACGCATTGCTCCAAGTGGAGAAAATTGGAAGTGGACGCCTGTCGAGCGAGGTCTTCCGAGCTGGGCGGGATCGACAAAAAAAGCGCAGCTTTTTGCGGCAGCAGACGGCGTCATTTGGTTGGAAGAAGTGTTCATCATTTCAGGTTGCGGCTACTTTTCTTTGCAGGCGTGGCTGACGTTATTTTCGGTTCTTCCGCGACCCTGAGCCGCAAGCAGCCACGGACCTCGTCGAGCCACCTCCTTCACCTCCAACCATCCCATTCACCACCACGCTTGCTGACCATCGCAAGGCGGCAACATCGAACGAAACCCGCAGCCGCCGCTCAGACACTCGCACCAGCCTCGAAGCGAGTCCACATCTGCTTCCTCCCCATGTCCACATAGCCTCGACGGATCTCACTCGGACCTCGGTGCCAACAAGCACACCGTCTTGCCCGCCTCGGATCGACTTGCAGTGATCTTCTGCTGCTGCCTCGCATGGCGATAACACAGGGCGCTTCCCGGTGTATCTGCGCTGTGCACCAAGGCGGCCAGTGCTAGAGGAGCCGCGTGGCTTTCCGCGCAACTAGCCAAGCGCGATGCGGCCGCCACCAATACCGAGTCCCATTCGGCCGGTGGCCTCGCACAGCGACAGCCTACTCAGTCTGCTCGCGCTTGCCTCCACCATCTGTCGCCTCGCCGCACGCATCCAGAGCATCGATGCGCAGCCTCCACCCGACAGCGCCAATACGCCTCGCGCGCTCCCACTGCGTCGCCTCGTCGGCCCCGCGGGCAGATCGCATCGGAGCAGAATCCCAGTCTCTGGTGTAGAGTCTGCGGTCACGCTCCGATCGAGCCGACCTGGTGTCGCAACTGTGCGTCCGCGCAGAGCAGCGTCGCATCTCCAGCTCGCCACAGCCAAAGCCCCCTCACTTCGGTCTCGCTCCACCTGGGCTCCCTCACAGTCACAAGACAACCCCGCGGAAACGGTACTCTCGGACGAGAACCGACCGTCATCCGCCGCCCCTCCTCACCGTGACCCCATCGATCCATCGCCGCCAGAGCCTCCATCAGGATCGACCTCTCCACAAGGTCTGTTGCCAGCGTCTACGGCCGACGCCCACACCGACTCGCCTGCATCTTCACACGGCTCTCGTCCAGCTCACTGGCAAGCTGATTGGCTGCCGAAGCACAGTTCTGAACCGGACGAGGCCATCGTCGGGCTTGTCGATCTCAACCGGCGATTCGAGCAGATCTTGAAGGACGAACCCAAGCGATTCGCAGAGTTGCAGGAGCAAGAGAATCTCAACGGCTTCGAAGCTCGCCGAATCCTTGGCCACCGCCTCTGGCAGGTCTATCAGAATCACGCGCACAAGCAAGCGCTACCTCTGCACGTGCGTATCGGAGTGGCAAAGTCCTTGGCCAGGGCCGTACATCTCGTCACCACCAACCACGTCACCCTCTTCAAAAAGGCGTTTCGCTATCTCTTCAGCCGCCGCATCCGCGCCATCTACAAAGACTGCCAAGTTTTCCTCGAAAGGACTGGAAATCCACCCCTCTCCAGCCCCCGCAAGAGCCAATTGCGCTTCTCGATCCGCATGCTCGAACCCACCTACTTAGCTCTCGACGCAAAACCCTTGGCCGCCCTCAAGGCCATGGACACGGTTCTGCGTGAATGCAGGCCCGACATCTACCAGATGAAAGACCTCCGCAAGAAGCACGTTCACCTCTCGACCGTCGATCGTGCGCTCATCGCCATACTCGACTCGCTTGTCTTCGAGGTGCGATGTCCGTCGGACGCTGCCCAGATTGCCGCGCGCATCAGGTCGCAAGCCAGCTTCTTTGACGACACCACCATGCTCCAAGACGTCCTCGACGGCCAGATCGACGCGACCGAGTCGCAGCAGCCCATCGAAGACGCCCTCAAGTGGTACGCCACCTCTCCGCACGCCTTTCTCTTCTCCCATCCAGCCTTCAGGCACGCAAGGAGCTCGCTGCTCTTCTGTCTCTCCCACCACCGAGACGCTGCGGGATTGATCGAACGCCTCGGCGACGAGTTCGACGCCTCGGATCCAGCATTCGCGTCCACCTGCGAAATCGTGCTTCGTGCCGCCCTCATCTACAAAGGCTCCACCGCCGCGCTCGAGCTCTACGACGAGCTGTGGTCCATGGGTGTGCCCTTGCATCCCACGCTGCTCTCGCGCATCATCCGCGAGGCTCACGGTCAGGATCCGTCCGCGCGTCTCGAAGCGCTCCTCAATCGCTCTACCGCAAATGGCCAAAAGGTCCCAGCTAGACTGTTGCGAACCGTTGCCGAGGGCTGGGCGTTGCGCAATCGCATGGACCGTGTAGCGCCCATCTTGGCCAAGCTGCGTCGGGGCAAAAGCAAGAAGCACGAGGCCTTCGAGCACCGGCTCTACATGCAGCTCTTTGCTGCACGCGGTGACATCAAGGGCCTCGTCGCAAGGTTGGCCATATTGCACGACTTTCAAGCTCTCGAGACGCGAGATTGCCAGGCGGGCAAGAAACCGCTCGGTGCCAAGGAGTTTGGACTGCTGCTCAAGGCGTGCAACCGCAACAACGACGCCGAATCCGCTGAGCACTTCCTCTCCGAGGCCGTCGACCGAGGTATCAAGCTGCGAGCCAGCGACTACAACAGTCTCATCGACACCTACGCTCGCAGGGCCGACATCGACACGGCGCTGTCCATCTTTGAGCAGATGCGAGATGTCGGCATCCAGCCCGACAAGTACACCTACACTATCCTCATCCAGGGCTTCGCGCTGCGTCGCGACCCGGATGCGGCTGCACACACGCTGCGGGCCATGGTGGCGGCGGGACACACGCCCGACCGCATCACCTACGCGGCGCTTCTCAACTGCTACGTCGAGTCGGGCGTGTACGGTGCGGCGATCCGGCTGTTTGGCTGGATGCAGCGACGGCGCGACGCTCGCATCCGTCCGTCGATCGAGGTGTGCAACATGATCCTCAAGGCGTACGTGCTGAGTGCGCTGCCGGTGCAGAAGGTGATGCGGTTCGTCAGCAGCGTGCGCCGCGCCGGACTGCAACCCAACGCGCAAACGTACGCGCTGATGCTGCAGAGCGCCTGCGATGCCGGTCTGATGCACATTGCCGAGGACGTCTTCTCGGAAGCCGAAAACGTGCTGCCGAACCCGCGCGAAGGCGGAGTGGGCCAGGGCGCCAACCTGTTCCACTTCACCATCATGATCCACGGCTACCTGCGGCTCGGCGACCAGACGGAGGCCAAGGAGTACTTTGACGAGATGCAGCGTCGCAAGCTTCGACCGAGCGCGATCACGTGGAGTGTGATGGTGCACAGCTATGCGCGCAGCGACAACGACGTCAACTACAACCTCGCCAGCACGCTCGTCTCGCAGCTCGTTTCGAACGAGGACAGCAAGGCGTTCAAGCCGTCGTCGATGGCCGAGCTGCAGACGCAAGTGGGTGTGGACGACTCGTACAAGGCCGGCGATGTGGATGCGCCACTCGCCCGCAAGGGGCCGTCGTTTGCCGTTCTGCATACGGTGCTCATGGCGGCGCAGGCACGGCGCGGAGAGCCAGAGATGGTGGAGAGGACCATGGAGCGGCTGGCGAGCAGCACGACGGGCCTGACGGTGCTCCAGATGACGCCGCTGCTGGACGCCTATCGCCGCGTGGATGACGTCGAATCGGCTCTGCTGCTGTTCGAGCAGATCTACAAGGTGGCGCTCGAGACGGCGAGCATCGGCCGCGACCGCGTGTATGCGCACAGCCCACCTGGCTCGCAGCCGTCGGCGCCGGGCAGTGGAGGGGAAGGCGAGGCTGAAGGCGTTACGATCCGTCGGCTGGATGCCAACAGCCGCGCGCTGCTGTGCATGCCGATCTCGCTCATGATCGACGTGCTCTCGACGGCCGGTCGGCACGAAGAGATCGCTCGGATCTGGACGCGCGCCAAGCAGGATGGCTTTGGATTCGACGCGAGCAACTGGAACCACCTGGCTGCGTCGATGGCGCGCGCGGGCCAGCTCGAGGAGGCGCTGTCGGTAGTGGAGCGCGTGCTGTACCACGAGCCGCCGCGGTCGTGGATGCACGAGCGCGCGGCGGCGGATCTCAAGGCGCGCAATGCCAAGGTGGCCGCCGAGGCCGAGTCGAGCAAAGACTGGAAGAGCGACGAGGATGAAGCGAATGACGGACACAAGTCGGCGGCCGACGATGGCGACGAGTTTGACCCGCAGGTGGCGGAGGACGAGCTGGATCCTGCATCCAAGCATCGGTCGGATGCGGCGAGCGTGCCGTCGCGCCCACCGAACCGACGCTACGAATCGCGTTCGGACGACGATCCCTACACGGAGCTTCCGCTGGTTCGCCGAGGCACGGTCGATGACGATGTAGTCTCCGAGATCGGCGGGTCGTCCGAGGCGGGAGAAGACTATGCCGAGCCGAGCGCGTTCTATCTGGACGCGAATAGCGGGCTGCCGGATGTGCGCGAGCTGGTGGGCAGCGACATGGAGCGGCTGTCGCCGTGGTATGCGCACTTTGACACCATGGAGGCCATCAGTCGCGGACTCGCCGAGACGGGCGAGGCGAGCAGTGTGGTTGCGCTGCTCGACCGCTTCCCCACGGCGGCGAGCCTGATCGACCGGCACGAGCGCAAGGTGGAGATCATGCGCGAGCGGCAGCGGGAGGAAGCGGTGCGCAGTGCGCGCGATCTCATCGACGGCCGATCGTAAGGCGCTCTTAGCAGATGGACTTGGAGGCGGAAAGCACAAGGAATGCAAAATGATACAATGACATTACACAACATTAGCGAGACGCGATGCAGAGTGGCGAGTTTAGGCGTGGGCGGGGACTTGGCATCCGATGAAGTCCGAGTGGATGGCACGACTGCCGTCCGGCTTGCCGAATTGGGACTGGAGGAAGTCGTCAAAGACAAAGGGGATCCAGTCGGTGCCATCGACGATGCATGTGGCGGTGTATGCCGAGAGGTAGGTTGCGTCGGAGGCGGTTGTCCATCCACCCGTGCATGCTGTTCGAAATGCGACGTGGCGGAGTGGGTTATCTCTGTCCTCGTCGTGCTTTGGTTGCAGGGGGGTGGATGTTTTGAGTGCGTGGACGTGTTGCGAGCGCAGGTCGTCTCGAAAGCGCGTGCAGTGGGCGGTGAAGGCCGGGCACAGTGCAGGCGACGGTGGGCCCGGTGGACCGACGGAGAAGGTGCAGCCCGACACGAGAGCACCGGACATGGGCGGAGCAGGTGGCAGGTCGCCGTTCCACAGCATTGTAGACGCCAGCATGCGCACGCCTGCCAGCAAGGACGGCAACATGGCGGTGGATCTTGGAGAGGTTGAGGGGGGGAAGAAGCAAGACGAAACAAGATGGCTTCTTTGTATACTGTTTGTCAAACCGGCCTAAGGCAGCGCCGAGGATGATACCACAGGGTCCGAAGCGGTTTCACCCATTCACGCCCAGCGTTGGCGCCCCTCCGAGGCGTAGGCGCCGCCAGCACATAGCGCCAAGCACCGACTCGTAGCTGCCCATCTCCGAGGCGGAGGGAGGCCAGGCGCGATTTTCGGTTTGGCGCCTCGGCGGGACCCACGCGACTCGGCTGCACTCCCCGACACCTCTCGGCTCCGCCTCCTCACTTGCCTCCTCCTCCTCCTCACTTCCACGTGGTGACCACCCCTTCCTCCCGAAGCCCCCCCGGACGGCTCGTACTTCGTCCTTGCAGACGGGCACACCTGTGCTATGCATTCAACACACACACTCCCGCCCCTCAGTGATGTACACGGCGATGCGAATCTATTAAAAAAGGTCCTTAATATGCCTTGCCCTGGAGCATGAGTGCGAGTGCGCGTGGCGAGAAGCCTTCGAGGACGGCGCAAGTGATGAGGCGGTGCTGGAGGATGCTGTGGACGAACATGCAGCCGGGCAAGAGCAGCACGGCGTACATCCATGCGCGGCGGGCGAGCGAGACGAGCAGGCGCTGTTTGCGCCACGTGGCGGGCAGAGCCTCCAGCGCCGCCGTCTCGATCAAAATCCCCACGGCCTGGCACAGGAAGAAGCCGACCATGCCCGGGTCCACCATGCCTGCCAGCACCGCACGTGCTGTCAGCGGCGTGCCAGAAGGTATCCGCAGTCGAGCAAACATCATTGAACTGCAATACACAAAGGCGTCAGTATTCAAGGCTGTGGGATCAAGATGGGAAGAAGGGGGTGGAGGACTCACTGTTGGACACCGGACCAGAAGAAGACATAGAGCAGCTGGAGGGTGCGTTGGCGCGATCCGGGGAGCAGAGATGCCATGGCGAGATAGTCTCGCTGCGACGTAGCGTGCCAGCTGCGTGCCCACAGCCGTGCGAGTCCTGGCGACGTCAGCGGTCGTTCGAACGAGGCGAGAAAGGATGTGGCCGGCCGTGGCTTCCACACCAACAGCAAAAGCCCTTCCGCCGCCGAAGGCAGCAGGCAAATAGCGCCTCCCACCGTCACCACCACGGATAGCAATGTGGGTAGCGGTAGCTTCCATGCAGACGCCGGGATGCCGCTGATTCGAACCTGCTTGACGGCGGTAGCTGGGAGGAGCGAGATCCAGCTGCGCGATGCGGGTGAGCTGGGAATCCAGAACCCGTAGACATCCAGCACTTGGCAGGGGGTGGAGAGTGCGTGGATCCAGCGCAGCGAGACGACGGCAAAGAGCATCTGCAGCACGGCAGCGTACGAGGCCATTTCAGGCTGGCCGAAGCGACGCACGGTCGAGTGGGCAGGAATCTGCGCGGGGCTGCAGCGGTTCTGTCGCAGGAAGCGGGCCCAGTCGTTCAGACCGCGCAGCGACCACTCGAGCGCTCGGCCCTCGCGCGGGCGGATGGCACTCGTCCCCACCCGACGCAGCAGAAACACATCCAGGGCATACACGACGCGAGCCCACGAGGCCATTTTGGGCGCATCGACGATCTTCCATTCGTACCCCGCATAGTCTTCACCCATGCAGGTTACCAGCTTGCCCTTGTGGAACGGTCGAATGGGTCGTGGTCCACCGGCGGCAAACACGATGCAGATCTCGGCGGCTTTGCAGATGATCGTCCATGCTAGGATGGGCAGCGCGAGATCGCGCAGTGGATTGCCGAGTGTCATGCGTCGGTCCAGCACCAGCTGCAGCGACAGCAGCACGATAGCCGGGAAAGAGGCGAGTCGAACCATGCGCCATGCACCTCCGCGGGCGGGTAGCGTGAGACACAGCAGGAAGAGCCATGCTAGACAGATGGAGGTGATGGGAAGCGCCGGACGAAAGTTGGGCGTCCAACTCGCCTCCAACGGCTGCATGGCCAGCTTCTGCATCGATCGCCAGTCGATGCCAGTCCGAGGCCGACACGGGTAGATGTGAGGAGTTCGAGGGGGTCCCACTCAAGACCTTGTTGGATCAAGCTCTTCTTAAAGCTTGGCACCGGATCGGATGTAGTGGCTCAAGTCGTCTGCCGGTCTCGCTCACGGGAAGGACCGCCTGCAAGGATGCAAGCGTCGCCAGACCACCCTTTGTCAGCATTCACAGAGCATCCGCGAAGCAAAGCACCACCGGCCACGATGAACATGTGCCTACAAGGGGCACAAGGCGCGCCAGAGACAAAGGACAAGGGTCCTCGCTTCTAGGTGCATTCCACCAAAATACTCCGACACGGGATCGCTTGTGCATGCTCGTACGGCGCGCGCGTCTCGTGAGGGGGGGATTTCCTGCGCCCTCGAGCCCACCAGCCTGGCAGCAAAGGTGGGTGAGAAGATGATGTCTGCGCAGTCCGGATAGGATGCCGAAATGCCATTTGTGCGCAACCTTCGCCGCCTTTGGCAGTACCGCAGGACACGCGCGTCGAGACGGAAGCGGGTGTCTAAAGTGTCGGCTAGGACCGCTCCGCCTTCTCATAAGAGTTCGGTGACACATGTGGGCAGCGTGGTCCGCCGGCCTCAAAGAGTCGTACGTAGCTATGTTTAGCTCAGATGAATAGCTTGCGAGCCGATCTATGCGCCCTTCCGCTGCATCCGCTCCGTTCCGTGCCCAACTTCATCGGGCCATCGAAAAAAGTGCGATCCGAGCCGGGTCTGCCGTGTCGCACGAGCACGAGTGAATCGGATGAAGAGCTGGGAATGCTGCGAGATGCTAAAAGTACAGTGTATATTGTTACGGGGCGACCTCAGCCGCTGCTTGCGGGGGATGTGGTCGTTTCTTGGTGCTTGCTTTTGCAGGCTGCCATGGGGAACGGGCCGAGTTCAGATGACCTTGGGTGCGAGACTTGCGATTTTGCCCCAACCGGCGGCACGCAGCTCGTTGGCAACGACGCCGTTGACTCTTGTTCCCAGCGGCTCCTTCTTGTTGTTGAGGAGGACGCATGCGTTGTCGTCGAAGCGGATCACGCGTCCGTCCGGGCGAGTCATCTCCTTCTTGGTACGCACGATCACCGCGTGTCGCACATCGCCCCTGCGCACCTTTTGCGTCGTAGCCTGACCCGGAGTGTTGGAGATCGGTCGTGCTTTCTGTACCACCACTACAATCTCGTCGCCTGCAATGCAACCCACGAGAGACCCAAAAAGATGTCAGTCGAAAGCTCAACACGCCAGAGCTACACCAGGCCTGAGAGGAGGGAGAGACTTACCGACACGACCAAGACCTTGGGTGGTCTTGTTTCGCAGCACGTTGACACATTCGGCGATCAGACCGCCCGAGTTGTCGATGATCGCCATGCGTGCTTTGAGGCCCAACATGATGTGCGTGCGTGCCAAGAGCGCGGGATCGAGGTAATGGATCGAGAGACTGCTTCCGCCACAGGGCTACTTCGAATGATACGCGCAGCTGCGTGCTAGCTTCCGTGTCGAGTCGGCAGTGAGTGATGCAAGGTGTGGCTGTCAATGGTCGGTCGTCGCTGTTGCAGATGACGTTGCTATCGGAACTTCGGGGTGCGTAGGAAGAAGGGCAAAAAAGTCAAAATGGACGCGGGTGGAATCGAGTGCATTTCGGAGCCGGTCCTGTCCTCAGGATCGGCGATACAGATGCCCGATGATGGTCTTTTTTAACCCTTCAAAAAATCGCCGATCCGATCTTTGTCAAAAGCCGCCGATGAGCTTTGCGTCCCTCTGTTCGAGGTTCCACTGGATCGTTCTCAACGGCTACATGCACGATTGGCTGGGTTCTCAGCTCCGACGGAGAGGCAGCACCATGTTGTTGGGGGCTCGGGTAAGTACGAGGTAGGCTAAAGGGGCGCAGTTGCCGATGCCGGTACGGACGGGTTCGGTGCCGAAAGTGAGCGCCACTCACGTCCATCGAAGCATCTTTGGGCGGAAAAACTGGATTCTCCCATGTCGAGGCGAGCTCGGCTAGAGAAGGATGCAGCTGGGATCGGATGGACAGAGTGAGGCGAGTGTGATGAGCGGAGTGGACTAGCGCGTTTAGCCCCACGCCGATCCAACTCCGATGTCACGCCTGGCGCGCCCCGTGGATGAAGCACGAGCGGAGGTTTCGGCTCCGACCGCACCGATGGCATGTCGTTGGGGCCATGCGGATGAGCGGCTAATGCACGGCCTCGGTGATGCCAGCGGTCACGACAATGGCGCTCAGCCTTCCATGCGATGGTCAGAGGCGTCGCGCTGCTTTCAAAAAGGGTCGATCGCAAGCCAATTCATCAGCTGCGGACGTAAGGCGAAACAAGAGCGGATCACTACAGCGCGTACTGCACTCGATCGTTGGTCGTCTTCATGCCGAACGCCCCCAGCCACCATTTTTGAATTACACACACAGCCTTTGATTGTTGCGAAACACACATGAAGGCAAACCCACGCCAAAGTCGAGCCTATGACAGCGCTTTGTGAAGACGAGGGAACAGTCGGGGTCGAGAGGGTCGCGACTGCGTGTGGCTTGGTGGGTCTTTCTCCAAAGCGTGGAATTCCTTTTTTTGGCCCAGTCGTGACGGGCGCGCGCCCTCGGGTGAGACAGCAGACAGCCAATTTTGCGAAAAGTGGTTTCGGGCGGTGCAGCGCTCTGACGTCGTCGTTGCGCCCAATTTTTTTTTT